TGTGTACAAGATTTGTGCTCACCGCGAATAAGTCATTTACAGTGAGGGCCATGTCATTCAGCAGATCCCTGGTAAGTCTCACCCGGTGGGCGATAGCCTCGTATCTGCTGGCAATCTGATTCGCTTGTGCTTCAAGGCTGTTTGCGTCCTCTACGCTAACCACAGCACTAAGCATGGGCACGATCTGCAGCCACGCATGATAATAAAATTTTAAGAATATAAATTCAAAGCTAAAAAAGAAATATCGAAAGAAAAGCTAAGAAAGTTAGCTAAAAGATTGGGTTGCCGCCGCTAGATGGACAAACCAGATGAAGTGCTATAAGAACCGCAGCATCCGCAAAAGGACGATATGCACTTACAGCAAGAACTCGGTCGACTTCCTCGCCTTTCTGATATATCTCCTCATCGAGCTCTTGTTGTTCTCGAAGCTGCTCTTCCATTTTTTCGACATTTGCAGGAATTTTTCCCAAAGCATTTAAACGCTTCTCCGCCTATAATATTTTCTACTGATTGAGTATGAAGGCGTTAATCAAAAACAATCTCCATAATGGTTTTTTGAGCTTGGCCTACTCAATGTTGCATATTCAGCATTTCTTTTACATACGGACATAGCGACTTCCACTGCCTGATTTAATGTAAAAGCTCTGAAAATGAGCATGCTTTCAATTGCTAGCAAATCTTTGAACTGCTGCCTAGAGAGTAGGTGTCGAGAGGGAAAGCAATTGTATAAAACGCTTGGAAACGAGGAGTCGCTGTTAGGATTGAGTGCTCTAAGGTTATTCAAAATTTCTGAAGAATCGACACTTAACAAGTCACAATGATGCAAACCAATATCTCAGATTGTTCAAACCTCAATTTATAGATTTGTCGGCTACTTTAACGCGCATCTTTTTTAAGCGAATTCCTCCCCCACGTCTCTTCGGAACAAATCGACTATCAGTGACTTTGTATGGAAAATAAGAGAATCAAGATTAAGATGCAATGATTCAGAGAAACAAGCTCAAAAGAACACGTTTCATTTAGAAAAAGAATGAATGGACATTCATGAAGAAGAGATCTTCAACAAACGCCAGCGTGATTCACTCAAAAGGTGACGCGCTGCTTAGATAAAAAGGATGAAATTCAGCGCACAATTTTAGCGTTGAAAGAACATTTCATGTTCCTTTCGGTTTCAGCTACCGACCTGGTTTATAAGATATAATGTCTATCGTGTATATGACCGCCGCTCATCTTTCCTTTGCTCTGGATATCTCCTCGCTCGTTCATCAACAATTTTAGGTTTCATTGCTTTGATATGGTATCGCTTACCTGGTGAAGCCATGACTCTAGAGGCACAATTCCTTCAGACAACCGTTCAGCCAAATCAACAGCTTCGATTAAACGATGTTGACGATCGTGTGCGGCGTCAACAAGGTCACCGTATCTAAAACAATATACCTACAACACTTTATGAAATGACGTCTCTTTGTATATGGAATTCCCGTCTACTCGGATTCAGCTAACAAACCTTTTCTTAATCTCATCGTCGCGTTGTTTGAGCAACTTCAATTCTTCTTCAACAGTCGTCATAGCGACAATCTTCGCTATCAAAGCCGAAAAGCCTTTCACACTTAAATATAACCCTTAAAATCGAATAATTGAAAGACAGGATCACTCCATCAGACCTGAAGTCTTTATCCTCGATATGCTTCATGAGAACATCGTAAGCATGCAGTTGAGCCTTGGCTACCTTAAGTATTGAGCTCAATCCAACTTGATCACTAATCACAAAATAAGCAAAAACGGAAAAGCAGTCCGAAACCTTAGAATCAGCAGCTGGGGGTTTCTGGTTCTCCATCAACTCCTCAGTCTCCTCCAACCAATTCAAAAGCCCTTTATAGGCGTCCTCATAACTAGAAAAGTACTTTGAGTGACAGAATTTCACCTATGATGCCTATAACCTACCGTCCGAGCTGCTGCATAGCGGCATCCACCTCTCTTTCTTTAGAAGCCAGACTAGTCGATACTTGCGACCATTTTTCACATACATTTTGAAGATGACTATCCTGAATTCACGAGATAATTGTTAAGATACATTACACACACAGTGTAACAAACCAATTCAGCAGTATCAGTGTCAGGGCCAGCAGTTCGGATGAGTATTTTGCAGTCAGAAACAAAGTCATCTACCTGTAATATAAAAACAACGGTTATTTTTTGAAAAACTTCTTGAAAAATCACAAACCCTCTTTCCAGTATTTTTTAGACTATCTTTTAATTGTTTCAACTTCTCGGCCTGGTTTCCAGGTTCAGCTACTGTTAGTGCAGCAGAAAGGGCTTCTGATTCACGAGCTGCATCAAGTTCACGAATCAATTCAGCAGCATTTCTGCAAAAGAAAGTACGCGGATCAATTTATTCGATTCACCATTAGCAACAACACACTTCTGAACAGCATCCAACTCCCCAGCAATCTGGTCAACTTTTTTTGTTCTCTCGGCCAACTTCTTCTGAGCTTTCGCAATGAGCTGCAATTCAATCACTCAATCTTAATAACTCTCAACAAATTTCATTTCGACAATGGTAAGAAAGACTCCTTTCAGTATTTTTTGTGTGGCAAAGCGAAGCGTCTTCTAATTTTGACATAATACTCGGATTCTGTAAACACAAATGCCATCCAATAATTCTCTCTCCGCTTCATCTATGGACAATCCAACAAGGTGGAGTCAAGCGTGTCTAATGTTGCCTAATAGAATTTGATACCTCAGCTGTATAGAAAGCATGATTGAGCAATTTAGATTATAATTTTTAGACACTCGAATGAGCATACCTTTGCAACATCGTTAGCCGCCGCTCGATTAGCTGCCCACTGCGCTTGACTAACGACGCCAGCAGAAAGTGCACTATCCCAATCCGCTGACGTTTTTTCCAACTCCGCTTCTTTAGCAGCAAGCTGTTCCTCAATTGCAGTCACTTGCTTCCTTTGAGCCTCTAATTCAGCGCCACTTCGGGCTACTGGTTCCAAGTCGCTTATTTCCTGTGATACAAAACTATTACTTGGATTAATACTAATTTAAATGTTAACCAACCATGAATAATGTATTGGCGTCATTCTTGATCAGGCTGC